TGGTTTATAAACTGTCACCATTAGATAGTTTGGCCACCAGAGAGCACTGACAAGTTGAACCATGTTATGTCCTTCTCAGTGTGTACATTAGTCAAGGTTTTTTAAAGAGGAACTCCACTGATTTTCCACATCAAAGTTTGTTTACAGGTCATGCAGAGTACTACTACATGTCAAAGAAGCTGTACATAGTCTTCTGTGGCTCCAGACGAAGCTGTGTGAAATCTGATTAACAACCTCAACTGATGCCACTTGAGACTAGAGGGTAGTTGGCCCCTAGTAGCATATCACACCCAAATTTCTCACTGCACTATTAAAGTTGCATTGTGGGTAATGTAAGCACCAGGTTTTGACAGGAAGAAGAATGAAAGGAATAAAAAAGACTTATGTCTGTGATTCTGCTGCATCGATTATGACCCTTCTTATTTAAACTGTGTTATAGGATAATGGAATACTAAATCTCTCTATGCTGTTTTATATCAGAAAATATTATTGGCTGATATATATAATTTATTTTAAAACTCTGCAATATCAATATCAGTATCAAAATACCTCAAAAATCCAATGTCTGTCAAATATAACAGCTATAATGATGTTAACACATCGGTTATAATAATCAGTTATAATAATCCAATAATAAAATACTTATAATATTACACTGAAAGGAGCCATTGTGATACTTTAAATTCATTTTGCAGATAATACTTTCATCATTATACTTGAGTAAAATTTGAAGGCAGGACTTTCAGTTTATGACTGAGTGTTTTTACAGTGTGGTATTGCAACATTTACTTCAGCAAAGGATGTGATTCTTCCACCACTGGGTCCACTCCACAACTGCTGAGTCACCCCAAAAACACCAACAAGACCAGCTTTAGGTTTTAAGGCAGGACTGGTGTTTTAACATGAGGTAGCTCCGCTGTGTGAACTCCTTTTGAACATGTATGCTAAACACATTTTGTGAAATGGCTCCTTTATTTGATTGCGCTAGCAGATGTCATTTTAGCTCCCCACAATCTGGCTGCCTTCCTGTTTGAGTGCGCTGTAATGGTCCCTGGGCAGCTCACCGCTTCCTGAACTCGGTGAGCGGAAGCTTTCTGCATCAATTTCACTTTGAAGATGCCATATCAGTCGCGTAACTCGACTAGCAAGGGAAACTTGAAAGGTTATTGTTTCCTGTTGTCTGCTGAATGACTTTATCCCAACCTTCTCCAGCAGTTTCATCATGCACTGACGTCAACTGGCACACACAGATATGGACAGATTTAGTTTCTGCTTTTGGGACGTTTCCAAATCTTTTCCTCAGTGCCACAGATGATCCAAACAGAAAAAACTTTGAGTAAAGCTCTTAATGCCAATTTAGTGCTGCTCTTCTGTTATGTCAGAAATTATGTTTGTGAAGAGACACGTCTAATTACACGATAATGCCACAGAGTATACGTTTATTTCCTGAGTGATTCCATCATCCTCTGGTGATAATGGTAATGGTGCACCTGTTACTCGTTCTCACTTCTATCACCTGCGTGTGAGAACACATGTCAAAACACAAAGCTGCAGAAATTGCTTGCACCTGGTTTTGGAAGCACTATCAGGAATGTCTTGGTCAGGTGTCTCCAGCGTCGGGTCAGGCGGTGTGCGGGGGTTATTTCAGGACAGCCGTCTTCGGAGGAATGAGGGCCGTCTGACCACACGGTGCCACGTCGGGCTCCCACCTGTTGTAATTGGATTAGATGTTCTCCGTCAGTCATGGTTTGGCCGTGTTCACTCTTCTATCCCCTCCCATTGTTTCAGGGGCGTTCCAGATATGTTTTATTAGCATGCAACCAGGGCAGCATACATTTTTAGCTCCATTATTGAAGTGTGCCTCAGTCTTAGGGTTACTGTTGTTTTAGGTGCTCTTTTAAGAAGTTCTTTTGAAAAGCACAAAGGCTTTGATCCCTTTGTGCTTTACAGGCCCACCCAGCTTTGCTAGCTGTATTTTTTCCCTCAGATTTCTCCTCCCTACTGTGGCCCACTGGCCTGAAGGGTGAAATCCTTGGATTGTGATAATCCCAGGCAGGCGAAGATCAAACAGTGGATGAAAAGCCGTGGATCTGTGTGCCCCAGGGCCAGGATTGTAGTCTTCGGTATCATTCACTTCGTTATAACTAACGAGGCTGTCTGAAAAGGCTTTTTAATGAGGTGCCGCACTACTGTCTTGCACATATAAATGTGATAAGATTGAAGACAACAGTTCCTACTGTTTAAAGTGGTATAAAGTTGTGCTGATGCATGATTTGTCAACTTTTACCAATGACTAATGCACTCATCAGGTGGCTAGTAATCGGCATAAATAGTCACACTGTAAAAATACAGAGGGGTAAATTAGCTAATTACAGTAGAAGATGGATTGCCATGGACGTTGGTACAGATATTAATGGTCCCTAGATGGGTTATTACTGGATGGGTTGCCAAGAGTTTTGGCACAGATGGGCAAAATTCCTGTTTGTTAACCTGAAAAACAAATTATCTTCTCACCATTGTCAGCTGTATTTGTGTTTGCTAATTAGCAAGTAAGGCCTCACAGAGCAGCTAGCATGGCTGTAAACATTTGGTGCTTCGCTCTGTCCTGTTGAGCAGTTGAAAATGTGCAGGAGTGGGAAAGCACTTATTGAAATTTTGGTTTGAGTGAAGGATTTTTTTTCCCTTTGTTTCAAAACACCAAAGTAAAAGCCAGAAAGTATGTTTTTTTTTTTTTTTTTTTTAAAGGCAGAAATTTAGTCCACCTGCTGAGATATTAATACTCATCATCAACCATGTCCCCATATCCTATCAGCTGGATCAAAGGGTTTTTTTCTGTTTATTCCAGGCCAGAGACAGAGTCATTCGATCCCAGTTTGCCTGCACATACAAAGATGAAGAGCTGCCGCTCAACCGTGTGCTGGAGTTCCCAAGTACCAGCCAGATCCCCACCTGTGTGCACCCAGCACCTAAACTCAAAACCACTCCAGCTGTGGAGGAGGAGTGCAGCTCTGGTGTGGAGAGCACAGCCACAGGTACAGACTCAACCTTCATTTCTGGAAATCCTACAGGTACTTTTTGTTCTCTACTGCACGCAGAGAAAAGCTCAAAATGTCAACACAAGCCGTGCAGCGTTCTCTTTCTGCTGGGATATATTTCTGTTTCCTCTGACGCCACACAGCTGGACTGAGTCCCAGGCACACCTTCTCAGCTCCAGCCATGAACCCTTCCCAGTCCCAGCCCTGGGACTGGTACTTACCATTAGCCATTAAATGAATCCCCATTCTATAAAACCTGCACACCCCCACATCTGTAGTAAAAACCAAAAACGCACACACACACTCACACAGACCTTTTGCCCATTTCCCCTTCTGTCTTTTGTTCCGTGGGAATTCAGGCTTGGCTCCATCAGGTTACATGACAAATGTTAAATTTCAGCTTCATAGAATAAACACACGGCCTGCTCCGACTAGCAGCTAACGTCAGCAATTTCGTCACAACATTTTCCTTTTTTCTCCCACCAGGTTTTCACACTTGCTTTTGTTTTGTTTCAATCTTTCCAGCCAAGCCAACCTCTGAATGTCCAAATAAGGAGCAGAGTGGTAGACAACAGGGGGCTGCTCTTGAGCCAAGAAGTGGAAATGCCCAAAGCAGAGGTGCAGGCCCTGGCAATAGAAAGAAAACTGGCATTCAGGTACAGAGCAAAGGCAGCAAGAGGAAGCAGGTGGATTCTGACCAACATGGAGAATCAGAGAACCAGCCTCCAGAGAAGAAACGGCCCACTAGTGTCTCAGTCAAAATGCCTGGTAAGAATGTCAATAAGGCCTCGAGTAAGAAGAAGCTGATCGCTGGACAGGGAAAGCTAACCAGCTTTTTCAGAGTCTAATCAACATTTGCACTAATGTCATGATAGTATATAGACTTTCTGTCAAATGGAATTCAAACAAAGCAGCTGAATGTTGTGCAATAGTTTTCTCCCACTGATAAAACTGTTAATGCTGCTAATGTGATTTTTTTTATTTTTTTTAATCTCATTAATTGATACTTTTTTTTAATTGATCAACTAAAACCCTGATTTTCCTATTTTACCAAGCGTTTGATGAGAAGTCATCTCAAAGTGGGAGAAAAAGCTAGCTTAGCTCCAGTATAGCTGTTTCCCACTAGTTAGTTTCTGTGCTAAACTAAGCTAACCGGCTGCTAGCATTAGCTTCATATTTAGCATACACATCAGGTTTTTGTTCAGATCAAACAAACAAGATAACAGATTTTAATTGGTAGCTTTAAAGATGATGATAGGGGGATTTTGTTACCCATTAAACAGAGCCAAATAGCCATTTCCCCCTATTTCCAGTCTTTATGCTAGCTAAGCTAATTGCCTGTTAGCGATAGTATCATTCTCTCATCTAACTCTTGACCATGAAAGTGAATAAGCATATTTCCCAAAATGTCCTTTATTTGTAAAGTCTATAAAATGTCAGAAAAGGGCAGAAAATAATTTCCAGACCCAATCGTGATATCTTTAAAATCACGTTTTGTCCGACCGAGAGTTCAAAACCTTAAGAAATCCCCTTTAAAGTTAACAGAAAAAACAGGAACTGGCACTGTTTGTAATTTCTGTTTGGTGAATGACTTTAATGATTCACTGATTATGAAAAATTGTTGTTTAATTTTCTATAAATCTGATTAATCATTTCTGCACTAGTTTAAGTGGCTCTGTTTTTACCTATTATGCTGTGTGGAAATCCGAGTGGCTACAACGTGAATGGATCAATTTGGTCAGTAAACGATGAGGCTGATACGTCCTTTTTTGTGTTTTTGAAATGTGTTTCACCAGTAGCTGTACAGTCTATTTAACCTGTAACATTCCACAATGACTCTGTACATATGCAGGCTTTTCATTTTTAATAAATTTTTATTTTGTTTTACATGTTTGCACTCTCTTATTTTTTTCAAGGAAATGCATTTCAGTGTTAACACAGGAGGAAAAAATTTTTACAGCACATTCAAGCAAGGGAAGCACCTTCCCAGCAGGGTCGGTACACTCTTCCTATCATACATCGCAGCACTAGGAGAAGGAAGAAAAAGAATACAGAGCATTAGTTAGTATAAACATCAAGGAATTTGAAATGGTTTAGTAAGAATTTTCTTAGAAGCAAGGGGTTTCCGGATACTTACTGTCGAGGTCAGTGTTTCTGCGATCTATTTTCAAACTGTACTCAGCAGGAGTGTGGCTCAAGCTTCGTTCTGTGAGCAGAGGAAGGCTCCGGCTAAAGGCCGAGTTCAGCCCATGAACACTGCGTCCCTTTTGCCTCATGTCCTGAAACAAAGTACTGATCAGTGATTACATAGATATCATAAGACCACATACACATTACCATACAGCACAATCTGAACCTTGGATCGTCAAGTTGCAGCAAATTTTTTAAGATTATCTTTTCACGTGCAGCACAGGTGTTGGATCTGTCTTTTAGCAGCTGATCTAAGCCACATTAACCCCAAATGGAAGAAATGTGTTTCCCAGTTTTTACTATATCACAGTGGCCCGTTTTCTTCCACCGCCCTGGTTTACTCTGACAGCTTTGTTCTCTCCGTCTCGGCTGCCTGCTCTCCATTACCACAGAGATAACCACCATGTTCATGACACACGGGAGACGCAGCCGCCAGATAAACTCTTTACACATAGCAACCAAACGTTTGAGGAAGCACAGCTATATGATCATTCTTCCCACTGTGATTCCAATAAATCTTTATAGGCTTGTGATCATTTGACCTTTTCAGCTAATAGTATTTCCCGGTTTTCCAACACTGCTGTAAAAGATTTTCATAGATGTGTATGAAATATAGACTTAACATTAGACACGAGGCCAATTGAAAAGGGTCAAATGTTCAGGCACAGGATGGAGATAATGTGCTCTTTGTTGTTGTTGAACTATGGTTAGCTGAGGTTGTTTATAGAAAGAATTCTCATACAATGAATAGTTATGATGCATGACTGTCACTGGCAGAATAATACTGGCTGAATGACGGCAAACGGAGAATAGCCAGACAGTTTACTTGGGATAAATTGATATTAATCCAAATAGCTGGTAAAATTGAATTGAATTAAGTTATTTCAATCTAACAACGCAATGACAAAAATATTACTTACTTACCTCTTGTGGCAACTAGCCATACAGAAAGTTTTAGTTTTGTTTGTCCAGGTTTTGAGATTTCTGTCTCTATACCAATACAATGGAAGTTAATGGGTAATAATTTGTTATTCTACAATTAAATTAATCACTTACAGTTTGAGCAAATTTGTGCAATACTATAAATACAATACTACTACTGCAAATTTATAACAGAAAGCCTGAGTTAAAAACTGTAAATGTAGAGTTTGAAAGATGTGGTTTGCAAGTAAGATCTAATTCAACAGGTTATCCAGTTGCATCTTGATAAGTGTAGGACCTTGACCCATATTTTGGACAAAAACTCACAGAAATGAAACTCTCATTAAACTGTTTTTTGTAATATAAATAGTTATGTTCAGAAAAAAAGTCGATGCTAGCTCCTTCTTTTGATGATTGTTGTTCAGAGTACAGTATCTCCTATTGACCACACTAGAGCACATTATTATACAAGTCACCTGTATTTTGGTTGGTGACTCTGTTGCTACCTTGCACCCTGAGAATGGGCATCTACAGAAAAACATCCTTGCATGAATAAAAAATGTAATTAGAATGGTGTCATGTTTAACTAACCATGAGCAGCACTTAACGTTGTCGGCTCCAGTTGTTCCAAGGACACTATTTCTGGAGAAAGCCCCTGCTGAATTATTTTCAAAGCCATTTTTCAAAGCTGTGACCACCACCAATTAAAGTCTAGTTACTTACATTGTATTGGGATAAGAGGCTGAAATCTAAGACATGGTTACATGAAAAGCCTGGACAAACAAAACTATCTACATGGCTAGATACAACTAGGGGTTTGTAAGAAAATATGTGTTTTGAACAATTCCACTTGCTATAATTTTCCCTTTATAAACTGTAACTAATGGCATTATAAACAGTTAGGAATCAGTTCCTTGTATTGCCAGGTTGTGAAAAATCCCTTTGGCTGACCAAATTACTACATGAACTAAACTTGGCAAACAAGCTGGCCTAATACTGGTCTATAAAAGCATTAGTAAAAAGCATTTTTCACTCATGAATAAAACTGCTAGCTACAGCTAGGAAACCCTTTATAATGGATGACTTATTAGAAAGTTGTATTGGGTGAAACAACCCTTTAAACAGCTTCAAACTTCAAAAAGTCTTGTGTCACTTACCGAGACCATGATGATTTTAGGGTTCCCATCTTCATCCCTGTCGTTGTTGTCCACCACGAGGCGTCGTCTGTACACGGGAGGAACCATGCCATGCTCAGTCATGGGTTCGTCGCCCAGTAACGAACCCAGGCCATCTTGCTCTATTACCCCATCTTCTACTTTAGTTGCAGGTATGGCTGCAGTTATCAAGTGGCTGCTCAGCTCAGAGAACAGCACCAGAGTAAAGAGGGCCGAGTGGACAGAGATCATGGTATCTTCAATGTTCAGTTCTACAGACTGTGACTGGTCTTGCCTCACCTGACGACTGTTGAGACTGCGCTCTCAGCTGCTTTATATACTGAGGCAGTGATTTTGCTTGCAACTTATAATTGTAATACATAAAAACATCATGTCATGAGGTCACAGCAAATGTGCTGTGCTTCCATTAATAGATGTTCCTTTGCAAAGAAACAGGTGAATAGCTTTATTTTGTCTGTTTAGAAGTGTGATGAATTCAAATGGCCAAAAGAGGGGAAATATAGTAGGTAGTAATTCCCTCCACATCACAGAGTGGGGTCAAGAAGATTCACAGGGGGTGAAAGGGCAGGAATTAATTGTGAATCTCTTCTAACAAAATCCACATGCTGAAATGAGCCCAGCAGGTGACAGGACAGAGACCCAATAAGTAGTCATCATAAGTTCTTTTCCCTGAATGGCATTTGTGACTGTACAGAGATGAACTAAATCCTGTGATGGAGCTTTGACAAAGGTCAGTAAACATGTAGGAAAACCTCCAAACTGAGACTAATGCCGACAAGCTTTTTGGAGGAAATTAGTCATTTTAAAGGAATAGTTCAACATTTTTCAAAATATATGTACGTCTGGTGAGAAGATTGATATGATTCTCATGTCTGTAAATATTTGTAAATAGCTGTTTAATATCATTATTGTAATTTTAACATTATCAATAACTAATAGATGAATTAATACCTGTACAAATGGTTCTGGAAATACTATATTTTTGATCACTACAAGGTGATATCAAACATGATACACTGCTGGAGCTGCCACAAGTTTAAGTTTTACGTTATTTCTGTTCAATACATCCATGGTTATAGCAGGACTTGTTTTAGACTGCAATTATTGAGCTTTTGGATTCAGTTTCAAGGTAGCTACCACAAGGGTTTACCTATTTTGAATGACACTTATTCTCACACCTTTACTTTGAACTCACTTAACAGGACTCTAAGCACAATGTGGTGCCACACATACACACACACACACTATTATGTACACACAAAAATAGAAAACAGCAACACATGAAAAAACCAAAAAGATAATCTATTAGTAGTTTTTGAGTATGTTTCTAACTTACCATCTGACAATATGGTTACCACATGTGTTGGTCATTTATTCACCTCTCTATTAGACTGTTGTTGTGGTTATTATTTGTACTGTGGTCTAGATGGATATTTATTTTTTTACTTAATTTATTCATTTATTTATTGTTTTAATATGGGACATGATATACTATTTGGATTTGTAGTAACCTACTACATATCCCCATCATATACAGTATATGTTAACCTCCTGGAATAACCTCTTCATTATTACAATCTGGAAAAATCTACACATTTTATATAAAAAATAAATCCATATATTTGATTAATTGGGCTAAATTTGCAATAGACCTTATGGGTGACCTTAATCACAAAAAAGATCTTTTTAAGGTAAAAGCAATCAACAAAAAAATAATATAAAAGGGTTTTAATATGTATTCTAGTGACTCTCACTAAAGCCTCATAGCACTATATTCAATTGAATAGACATATCCCAAAACTCAATATTGGAAGAATAAATATATGTGGCTAAAGGTGTAACAATTCGTTTAAAAGAGTCAAAGAAAGTTTAACTTGCAGTTTGGTTTTGGTCCTGGAGAAACGTTTGGTGGGCAGAGATGGAAGGCAGGCCGCACACAGAGGCTTTCCCGGTCAACAATGGCGCTCAATGACCTGAACGTTCCATGATGCGACTCCATGGTTTCCAGAGGCTTAGCGGCTAGCGGCTAACGGCTAACGGCTACACACCTTCAGTAGTCAACTTCAGTTTCTCGCAGACACACACGCACTAACATTCACCATACCCAAGTGACATTAGGTAGGGAAATGTGTAGTAATATCTTCACCTACAGCGACTGTTTTGGCTCTAATTAACATGAGCATTTTCGGACTGTTTGACTGTCTTCATTTCGCTCTCGGCGAGTCCCTCCGTGTTTCCCCGCCCCCTACATTTCTCTTCCGCACCTGCAGCCAATTACAATAAATACCTTTGACTGACAACCTGTATTGACCAATAAAACCATAAGAGCTGAAACTAAAGGTATATTTTGTGTTTTTTATTTTAGCAAAACTCAATATTTGCCTGTAAAAATATTTAGAACTGAGTTACTATTAATTTTTACTACTTATTTACAAATGATCTTTTTCACAATTAACAATCTTAATCAGTCAGGTAACCATTTTTGCCTGAGTTTCTTTAAAAATAAGTAATTCTCTTTTTCAAATAGTCTCATAATGTTTTATCTAACTTCAGTAGCTTGTTCAGTAGCAAACTTTCAACCCCTTTGCTTTGGTCACTTCGCAAGCCAATCCAGCATCACCTTGAATTCCACTCCACCTTGGGAAGCGATTTACTTGTGTCCCCTAGAAATGAATGGGGTAGAATTTCGAATGAAGTTGAGCTCAGTGGGTCTTCACCAAAACTATACCCTCACAGAGCCACTGGCATGGATGTTGTTGATCTCTGCGCCTAACTCTCAGCAAGATACAAATAAGCAAAATGTCAAATTATTCATTCAAAGGATAATTTGATATCCCACAGCTCTGTGATCAAGCCTTTGGCAGAATTTGATTGATAAGCACCCACATCAAGGTGGCGATTGCCAGCTGATGGTAAAAGGTGGAGGCAAAGCAGAAACCGAAGGGCCGTCATGTTGACATGGCTCCTCACAGGCTTCTTCTCAGCTCCGAAAGCTTACCTTATTAACATCACAGGAGCTGTAGCGCATGGGATGGAGAACTGGGATATGAATAATAGCTATTGAACTCAGCTGAAGTGATTTTACTTGGAGCGGTCAGCCTTTATTTTGTAAGTATTATTGTTGGAGGGCGAGGACTTCTACTGAAGGACTGAACTTGTCCACAGGGGCAAGGCCGTTCCAGCAGAAGCACAACTGAACTTGTGAGCTTCGTGCTCTGTTGTTGTAACCTTTCTCGCTCTTTCTCTCTTACTGATAATGTCTCCCTCCCTTTTCCCACATTTCTCCTGATATAGGCTGTATCCATGAACTGATGTGGACAGTAGATGCACTGGAAATCACTGCAACGCCACCTGATCCAAAACTTCTGGGCTCTGTCAACTTCCTTGGCAATTACTCTGAAGATTTAATGAACTCTGAGCTGTGGTGAAGGTCTTTATCTGGTAACTGTGATTTTTCCCTGGCCTGAATTTCTAAGAAATCATTACCATAATTCTCTAACAAAGAACATTAGCAAAAAAAAGCCAAGAGTCAAATAATCTTATGAGGACCAGATGTGATTCGGTGGGTATCCATGAACATTATTTACTAAATTGTCATGTTTCCAAAACACAGTTCGTCAAACCTTCAATTTATGCCAGTAAAGTTTATTCAACTACTGTGCTGTCGCTGATTTACAGTTGATCTTGTTTGTAAGTGTTCGTAATTGCGTCCAGGTTAGATTCGGCGTCGTGCATGGTTTAAATTTTAAACTCGAGGAAGCTGCAGAGTAGTTATTTCATCAGCTCTGTCAGCTGCTTGCATCACTTGTCAGTCGCCGGTGCTGTATTTCAATCACACCGCCTACAGCTTTGTGCGAAAAGAGACCTCAGAAATCTAGGCCCTATGACATCAGTAGCAGCATTGTTTTATAATCCTCCAGAGGTCAGCACATTATTTCCCCCGTCCTGTATTAACACACTGCCTTTCATCACCAACACTCATCTTTTAATAGAAAAAAAAAAAAAAGACAAACACTGTCACAGCACAGAGGAAGCTTTGGTTCCAAGGACATTTGTTGCGCTGATGCTCCACGCATGATGCTTCGTGTCTATGTGTGTGTATTAAGTTGTGCCAGGGGCCGGCGTGCTGCATTCAGCAGAGATGCGGGTGCAAAAGGGGGGGGTGGGGGGGTGGGCCGCATTTTGGGCAGGATTTTTTTGTTGCCCAGAGAACAGACCATGGTTTCCTGGAACAATGCAGCTGATGAGAGTCTCTCCAAGGAAAATAAGGCTCTGACATCATGGGTTCTTAAAGCACACAGCTGAGCCAACACTCTCTCCTGCTATAATCAAGCCTCAGTGAATTTCCACTGTCGACTGAAATTGAGAAAGAGGGAGAATCTCCTCCAATGGTTTCAACAATTTTTTTTTTTTTTTTTTTTTTTTTTTTACACATGCTTTAATCTAACTGCTAATTTTCCCGTTGTAGCACCAGGCTCACAGTGCACTTGCTAGACTCTTGTGTCTCTGTTTCCTTTTACATCTGGCCCTGGCTCATGGTAACAATAAAATGTGACACAAGGCTACTTGTAAATTTGTCATGCTCAACTCATCACAAGCCAAGGCTGGATCCTAGCCGCAGGATCTGAGAATATTGGGGATCAGAGACAACAAATGCTAAATTGACAACAGCAAGGAGCAAAAGTTAAAACCCAGCACAGTGAAATCCTGTGTGTCCTGTTGAAAAAAAAATGAATGGTTGAAGACTGATGAAGCCTTGCAACCACTTTTCCTGTAAAACAACCAGTAGAATAAGTAGTAAAATTGGTGAGTGTAGTAAAACAGACCACAAGGTCATTCAAAAGACAATTGTGTGCTTAAGATGAGGAGTTGAAGAGTGTGGAGAGATTGTGTTTCAGGGCTCAGTCCAAACTCTGTGTCCTTAGATGCACTGGATCCTGAGTGCATGCTGATCAATGGGAAAGGATCGTGTTCTTTCCAGAACCATCCTGGTTCTTGAGGTTATTCAAACAGCTTTGTGTTGCACTTCTTGAGTCACCATGTAATCCAAAATTAGCACATATAAGAAGGTAAACAGAGCAATTTTAAGACATCCTGACGTTTGTATTTTATAATAATTACAACTGGATGATAGTGCACATCCGTATTCACTTTTATAATTGGCTTATTTGTTATGGCTTGGTTAGCCGCCACTGCCCAGGCCTCTCTGCACACAATTTCTCTCTGATTTA